GTAAAATAAAATTAAATAGTCCAAAACCGGATGCACTAATTGCTGTCTCAAAATCGGCGGGTTCAGCTCTTACTAAAAATTAAAAAAATTTTTTTTTGGTTAAAGTATATAAAACAAAAATAAAATGAATTTTTTTGTTACATTTCTAACATAAATTAAAAAAGATATATAAAATATAAAATTAAACTGTATAAAAACTTTTAGTGTTAATAATAAGACGATTAAATTTATTTTTGTTGTTGATGTGCCATTTAAATATACTATTATATACCATCGTAGGTACTAGCTTTCGAAAATATGCCAAGGAATTGCTTCATTAATTATAATATATCCGTAAAAGATATCTAACAAATAGCTCAAGTAAATTTAAGGGTGAATACCATCGCTCATCCATATGGAAGAGAGTGTCTCTTCCGTATGTAGCTAAGTCCTTGAAAACACGTCTCAAGGTGGCTCATACTTACCTATATTGCGAATTTTTTTTATGACGTTTTCTTCATTAAAGAAAGCTCTCATGGATGTTAAAGATGAATGATTGTTAGTAATGAACATTGAGGCTCATGTAACTAGTGCGGCTAATATTAACAGACTCCTGTGCGGAGTTAATTAAATAAATTGAATAAAAATGGAGATAAAGTCAAATTGGGATTATATGCACGGTAAAGCACGGTACCAGAGAAGTTAATTTAAGAGCGAAATTTTTATATTTTCTTTGGGACATATAGGATTTGTTGAAACTGACTTTCCCTTCTTTGCAGAGATGAAACGGTAACGTCTATTTTTTAAATGTTTATCTGGTTTATACAGTTGGGCAGATTGAGAGTGTGTCTAAAGGGTATGTATAATAGATTTTCTAAATATATTGATTTTTTTGGTGAAAGAAGTTTTTACGACATCGAAGAAGCTATCCTTCATGTAAAGCAAACAAACTTTAGATGGGTTAGTGAGGTTAAGACAAAGTTCTATTCAAATAAAAAAGCTAAGAGTATTTTTAGTTATTGCAAATCTGCTATATTTGGGGGTGGAAAAATTGTTTTTATTTTTTTTAAATGCATATAAAAAACATGATATTTTGACTTGAATGTGTTGAGAGAAACCTATTAATAATATTTTTATTACCGGCTACAGTTCACCTTTTTTGAATTAAACGTATGTTTAATATTTATTGTCATGTTTTTTGTTCAGTTGTCTATATTGCATTGGACATAGACAACGGAACCAAAAACATACCGAATGGATATAGATTTTATTAGAATTAATTCATGTTAATTAATTGTAGAATTCTTATCTTGAATTATATTAAAAAATATTCAACAAACGTTTAATTTAAAAAAGGTGATCTGTTGCCAAATATAAAATATATTCAAAAATTAAAAAATTTATGTTTTTAATACTATGAATCCCCATATAGAGGTTTTTCGAACAGTGGTGAACTACAACAACAAAAATTCATTTCGTATTATTTTAATTACTTGACAGCTGTATGGTCAGCCGTTTCGAGTATTGCCAAATACCCATCATCAGTGGTATTGGAAATAATGAAATTTTATTTTAAGGAACTTGATCAAATTTTAAACAAAATATTTTTCTTGAAACCTACTTACCCCTTTTATTGTCATTCGGTCTAGTAGTGTCCATAATTGATAATTATATATTATATATTTTTATCACAATAAAAAGTACGTACATAGAGCTCATATAATGTAGTAATTTATTATTACTTGTCATTTAGTTATAAGATATTTTTATTTCAAATACCAAATACACTTTTAAATAGAATTTTAAATAGAATTTCAATTAACAACAGAATAATGATAAATAAATGAATATTTTTTAATATTTGTTGAAGTTCATATATTAAAACGTTGCATGCAAATCAATTATTTTGTACACCACTGTTTCTTGATTGGAATGAACTTTATTAATTGATCTTTGAATTCATCTGCAGAGCAATTGATGATGAAATTGTGTAACTCAGTTCCGGATACAAATACAAATTACCGCCGATATAGACTTAAGTGGTCCGCTCGTTTCGACTTGTAATTAAACAATAATGATAAAATTCTGACACTTTGTATTAAAATCGTTGCTACCACTTCACTCAGATGGAAACATTTTATTTATATTTATTTGAAAAATAAATAGAATTATAATAAGCAAATAACGAGTTGCATGTTGAACTTATAGAACAAAAACGTCATCTCTATATAAATGTAATTTCCTTAATCTAAACTTTAATCTTATCTTAATTATTTTTATTAAAGTTGTTATGGTACATATGTGGTTTTGTTCGGCTATACTTACTTAATGCTGCCTACTGCATTATTTACATAGTATTAAATGATATCAACTTATTAAGATTCCCATTTATAAGATATAGTTTCATCATAAATTTTTTCAGCTCATCACTGAATTCACTGTGTGAAAGTGCGTTCACACAGCAAGATTATAAAGAAGTTCTTAATTCAAACTATTATTAAAATTGGAATTGAAAGTAAATTCAACGTCCTTTACGATAATGATAGATAAGGTTGTTAATGTATTATATTATATTATGACATGTTTCAAAAGACCGTACAATTAGAAATTGATTGTATATCTAAGAACTTAGTCTTTCTACAAAAAGTTTCCAGTTGTGTCTATTCCGTGTCATGTATCTAAGCTCTTTAAACGATTTGGACATTTCGGTGAATACTGTTCGCCTCTATGTTGCCTTTGCACGTCCTCTTCTTCTTAATCCTACCGGGTTCTATTCTAAAGCTGAAGGACTGATATCATCACATGAATGAAATAATTTTATTAAATTCTTTCTATTCAATATATTCTTGATTATTTCAAAAATAAAATTTTTGTAATTCTAACCAATTATGATTATAAAGAGATACATTTATAAGCAAGTCAATCGCACTAGTACACTAATTATGTTATATATGCATGCATAACAATAATATAATATGTATAATAATATAATATAATCACTTTTTTGGGATGTAAACGGAGTTCCATTAATTGACTATCTTAAAAAAGGGAAAACAATTAATTTTGAAAGACTTATTTTAAATCAGACTCGTTTAAATTAGACCGACTTAGTTGCGTTATTCCAATTATTTTTATTTTTTAAACGTATAAGACTCATTTGTCAGACCGCTTATCAACAGGAACAAAAAAATTGTTAATCTGTTATAATTTATTTTATAAGTAGTATTCCACAGTATAATTGGTCTATAAATATCATATAAAAATATATGTTCTTCTTCGTGCATTTAGCATATAATGATTGGTTACTATTTGCTTTGTATAAATTCGTTTATCTAAACGACTGTGAAAATACCGGAAGTCCCATTGCTAGATATCTAAATCTAGTTAAAATCTATTTTTCTATTTTCCCAATACCCAACACTTGGAATTTAAGTGTGCTTTGCCCAATCCACAAAGAAAGTGATTATAAAAATTGTGCTAATTATAGCGGGACCACTCTTTTATATATCGCAAATAAGGTTCTGTCAAATGTACTATGTGAAAGATTGAAGCCAGTTAATCGTAAACCAACTGATTGGACCTTATCATCCTAGACCAGATATTTACAGTACGTCAAATTCTGGAGAACAGCCAAGAAAAGGAAATCGACACTCACCATCTATTTGTTGATTTCAAAGCCGATTTTGACATTACGACTTGAAGCATTTTTCATGTTGCTAGATCTGAATTTCGTATTCCAGCATAACTTATACGGCTATGTAAAATGACATTAAGCAACATCAGCAGCTCCAATAGAATTGGGAAGAACCGAGCAGTTTGATACCACATGATGTTTCAGACAGGGTGAATACTAGTCGTGTGACTTCTTTAATCTAACGTTGGAAACGATAATCCAAGCAGCAGATTTAAGTCGTACTGGCACAATATTCTACAAAAGTGTGATGCTGATACGTTCGCCTGTATACCAACGCCGTCAGTGCGGCACTTTTCAACTTAGAAAAACAAGCGAGATAAATAGGTCTTATAGTGAATGAGAGTAAAACAAAGTGCCTTCTGTCAACAAACAAATTTTGGCTTTGCTGGATTGTTCATGTTGTGCAAATGGAAGAAAATCCTTGGGTTAAAAAGGTGTTTGATTCGGCACCTGTAGATTGAAAATGCGATAGCGGACTTTTTTATTTTAGCTATAACGATGACGATATGGAGGTGTTTGATACTAATAATTGGCGAGAGCATGCCAGTGATCGGGCTGGTTGGCGAGAGCCAGCCACTGATCGGTCTGGCTGGCGAGAGCAAACTACTGATCGGGCTGGCTGGCGGAGGTTACTGGACACGGCCAAGGAAAGTTCACGTGTGTAATACTCAACTAACTAAGAATGTAAGTAAGTAAGTATATTAATATTTTGTAAATTTTTTGTTGTATTTTTGAACGTGGGGAGAATTATTGAGCAAATCGCATAAATTCCATTATCTAATTTTTTTTAGATGATTCTTTAACATTACTCGTATAGTATATGTATCTATAACACTTTCTCTTCATATACCTTCTCTTCTCTTCATAACTTTCAAACAACTTAATCTTGAAAGTTGTTTTATGTGATTGAAATAAATTAGTGATATATTGTATTTTAACTTAATTATTTGTTTTTATTGATATATTTTCATTGTTTTTAAGTGACATTCTTCTATAATATTCTCTTATTTTAAAACTATATAAATTAACAAAATTATTAAATAATATTTTATTTTGTAATATTTCAAACCAGAAAAATAATTTCATGAACAGTCTTTAAAAATCTTAGGCTAATAGTTGTTATATATAAATTGAATTAAATATTTCTTATTGGTAAAAGTATTGTGCCTTATATTAATCATTAATCTAAATTATGCGTAAAGACATATATTTTTAAAAGTAATTAACTCTAATATATTATATATTTTAACTATTTTGTGCCACAGAATTATTCTACTTGATTTTCTCATGATCATTTTATCATATTTAAGTAAATGTGGTTTTTTTAGGACTTGGTAAAATGCAGGATAGAGCCGCAGCACCTATGAGAAATTGTAAGAATATATAGTCAATAACTAATAATAGGAGTGCTAATGTAATTAACTTACAAAACATGACAAAGCCCACCATTAAAAATGGTGGTATGCAACCGATTTCAATAAAAACTGGGAACAACATATTTCCGGAAAGAGCACCAAGACGACCAAACATCATAGCAGATGCAACGATTAAAGCTCTAAAGTAAAGAAGAATATTCATCAATATTCTTAATGTAGATTAATAAATAAATTATTAATTATGTGTATATACATACCTTAAAGATGTTGGAAAGAGTGTCACCACTACGCCTAATAATGAAGATGTTGATATGCTTGAGACTGTTATAAA